TGCTGGGCCTGTGTCCTGGTGGGGTTTTTTGGTTGTTGTTGTTTGTTTTTTGGTTGGTTTTTTTTTTTTTTGCTAGTTTGACACAATTTGGACACGTCTAGGAAGAAGGGGTCTTAATCGAGGAAACAGTCTGTGGGCATGTCTATAAATCATTTGCTTGCTTAAGGACCACTGTGGGTGGCACCACCCCTGGGCAGGTGGTCCTGGGTGCTATGATAAAACTGAGCAAGCCATGTGGAGTAAGGCAGCACCCTCCCTCTGCATGACTCCCTGCCTTGACTTCCCTCTCTGACACACTGTGATGGGGGTTATAAGCTACATCAGCCCTTTCCTCTCCAAGATGCTTTTGATCATTGTTTTATCACAGCAGTAGAAACCCTAATTAAGACACCTTTTGGGATGGTGGACAAGGGGCCTCCCTGCTCACACAGGCAAAAAAAAAAAGAAAATAAAAACAAGCAAACCAAACATTAAATCTTTCACTCTGTGGGCACAGAGCAGGCACTACTAGGTAACAGCTTTATTACTTGAGAAGAATTTAGTTCACTCGGGCAGGCCTGTCCTCATCCCAACAGGAAAGAAAATATTCCAAAGAATATTTCTTCTGACATCTTTTGATGTCAGAAGAAACACAAACTTTTGAGACAATGGATCCAGGAAACTGGGACTTTTCCAGAGTCTCCTGCCAGGGGAATAAAAAGGCCACATCTGCCCTAGGGATTGATGTGGGATAATGCCCTTGTACACTGCAAAGATTTGTCATTCCTATTGGTTTAATAAAACGCTAATTGGCCAGTAGCCAGGTGGAAAATATAGGCAGAGCTACCAGACTAGGAGAATTCTGGGAGGAGGAAGGCAGAGATACGATCGCCAGCAAGATACAGAGGAAGCAAGACAAGAATGCCGTATTAAGAAAAGGTACAAGCCACATGGCTAAACATAGATAAGAATTATAGGTTAATTTAAGTTATAAGAGTTTACTAGTAATAAGCCTGAGCAACAGGTCAAACAGTTTATAGCGAATACAAGCCTCTGTGTGTTTATTTGGGACTGAATGGCTGCAGGACTGAGTGGGACAGAAACTTCTGTGTACATTTGGCACCCAAATGTTTGGCAAGAACTTCCACGTAAAACCCGACAAAAGCTTAAAAAGGGACTCTGAACACAAAAGAATCAAGCACAGCATTTCCTTGGGTGGACTCTGCTTGTGAGGATTGCCAGGGTCCCCACTCTGAAGTTAAGGACTCCGGTAACAATTTTGACACTCAGATCCAGAGAACAGAGCAATTATGGATGTCAGCCACTCACAGCACATTGACCCCAGATGGAGAGTGAAGACTAGAAGTTGCTGCATAGATACTGAAGTGACCTCGCATCCAGGGGGACATTTCTTAACTTCCCACTTCAGCAACTTTTCCACCTCTGCCACATAAAGCCAAGAAATAAGAATTTAGGTTTTGCTTTAGACTCTCAAGAAAGTTTGGCTCTCGGTAAATTTCTTCCCACTCTGGGCATCTCAGCCTTTGCCTTCCCTCAGTTTGGAGGCGCCTTTGAGTCATGTGAGTACTTTCTGAACCGTTTTGGAGACTGTGGTCAGTGTTCCCCTGAGCCGCTCGCATTTAGTTGGACTCCTGGGGTGAATGGCAGGTCTCAGCCACCTGAACACTCTTTTGAGTAAGGTTGGAGTTCTGTTGGATCATTTGGACATCTGCTACCCAAGGCTGATGTATGTTGATGCCTGCTAGGAAAAGCTGGTACACATTGGTCTTTGGAGGTCTTTATGGAGCCATTTAAGGTTCTGTCAAGGACACTGGAGGACAGAGAGACAAGGGTGTCCTGAGGATTCCTGCTATGATCTGTCGAACCAAGGAAAATACCAAGTCTATCCTGATGTTATCTGGGGTGCAGGCATAGGTTCATTTTCTCAAATGGGGGGTTTTGACGTTTCTTAATTCCTTTTCGATTGCCATAACAAAACACCAGTACCAAGGCAACTTGTAAAAGAAAGCATTTAATTATGAACTTGCTTGCAGTTTCAGAGGGTGAGTCCTTTAGCATTACTATGGAAAGCATGGCAGCAGGCTGAGAGCTAACATGTGATCAGAGAGACAGAGAGGGAGGCAGGGAGGAAGGGAGGGAGGGAGGGAGGGAGGGAGGGAGGGATGGAGGGAGGGTGGGGGAAGAGAGACAGACAGACAGAGAGAGACAGAGCTCTGCAATGACTTGGGCTTTTGAAACCTCAAAGCCCACCTACAGTGACACATCTCTGATATGGGATGTCCTTCGGTATGCTGGAAACATGCGTTGCTTTTATTGGTTGATGAATAAAGCTGTTTCTCCCAATGGCCAAATAGAATATAGATAGGCAGGAAATTCAAACAAAAATGCAGAGAGAAGGAAGCTGGAGGCAGGGAGACCCCATGTAGCTGCCAAAGGAGTAACATGCTGGAACATTACCACTAAGCTACAGCCTTGGGACAATATGCAGATTAATAGAAATGGATTAATTTATAAGAAAGAGCTAGCCAGTAATTGGTCTGAGTCATTAGTCAAACAATTATATTTAATATTAAGCCTCAGGGTGTTATTTCATAAACATCTGCAGGAACTGATGGGCGAGACAGAAAGAATCCAACTACACAACTCCTCCAATACGGCCACACATCCTAATCCTTCCCAAACAGTTCCACCAACTGGGAGCCAAAGCATTCAAATATGTGATCCTATAGGGGCCATTCTCACTCAAACCACCACAAAAGTCAATTTTTATTCAAGGCAAAAGCAATGGAAACAGGCTCCCCTTGAGAAGAGGGAGCCTGAAGCAGAATCTGTTTTTCCCAGCCAGGGGATCAGTTATTTGGGGGTTCCCTCTGACGGGCTCTGTTACAGTTGTTAAATGGGGCATTCAGAATCACGACCCCCTGCTTCTTAAAGACATTGGGGAGAAAACTGACAAATGGAAATAGACTTACTACAGTTTAGTCAAACCAAGGAGAAAAAAAAATTCCCATTTGTTTGTGGCCTTTTCCATGGCAGCATTAGAACTCCATAGAAGATGTGGTGGTTTGACTAGGAGCAGCCTCTCTAGGCACATAGATTGAAATGCTTGGTCATCAAGAAGTGGTACTACCTGAGAAGGACTAGGAGGTGTGACCTTGTTGGAAGATGTGTGTCACTTCGAGGTTTCAAGAGCCCAAGCCAGGCCCAATGGCTCTGTCTCCTGCTGCCGTGGGTTCAGATGTAGAACTCTCAGCTGCTTCTGCAGCACTGTGTCGGCCTGCTCCCGGCGATGATGATGGACTAAACCTCTGAAACTGTAAGCCAGTCCCAATGAAATGTTCTCCTTTATAAGAGTTGCCTTCGTCGCGGTGTCTCTTCACGGCAATAGAACACTGACTCAGACACTGCATAACACAAACTAGGAATTATTACTATGCCAGCCTAAGCTATCAGAACTTTGTGAGATCTCTTCTGGGGAGGCAAGTCCCTGCTGTGGCTGGCATCAGGGTTTCAGCCTTTCCCTTTACCCAGCATGGGATTCCTGGGAAATTCATTATTTGGGTTCCAATAGTCTGATAATCACTCTCCTTGAAATATCTTCTCTCCTATCTGGTTACAGTGTACGCCTATCGCCTACTCTGAGCGTCAATGGCCTTGGCACCCTCTCTCCCCACTTTCTTGTTGCACTGGACTAGGCCAATCTCTGGAAAGGTGGCCAAGCCCTCGGGTTACAGCAGTGCATGGCACAGTTCCCTGGGCAGCCTCACAATCAGCCCCAGGCTCTCCTCCAGCCTGAGGTATCTCTGCACAAATTGGGACTGAGTGTCTCTACGCCCCCCACCCCTGAAATCAGGTTATAAGTCCCAGGAAAAGACCATGAAGGACAGCCAGTGCTGTACAAGCAGCTTGTGACTCTCCTGCTGGCCTCAGCTAGCTCTTCTCAGTAAGTACTTCACCATCCTCCTCTTGTGTCTTCAGGGAGGGCATTGCCAACCTCCATCCCTTGGGCTCAACATCCCCGTTAATACATGGGAAGCCAAAGCTCCCAGTTCATCTCCTATGGACAGAGTCAAGAGAACAAAGACCTTGCTTTGTGTTCTCAACATACAGTAGGACCACAGTGCGTGCTGGTAAGGGCTGGGCTGGTGACCTGCTTTGGGCCCTGGACCTCTGGCTCTCCCCTGTTCTCTCCCTATAGAGAGGTCAGAAGCCACCATGGGCTAATTCACACACACCCCAATTCCCCAGCAGGCACCTGATCTGCCCTGGGGATCCTTCTTAGGGCTACCCATACTGAGCCAGACACTGACCCTGCCATGGGTGTAGTTAGTCTATGACCATCTACAACCCTATGTTAGAGGATAAAGAAGCCTTTTTCTGATCTGGATTTTCAGAGCTGAATTCCAGAATATAGTCTTGTTTTCAGCCCTCTCTCTCTTTAACTCACTCTCCTGCCCCGGTGCACTCTGATCTTGATATCCTTGTGAGAACTCCCGAGCCTCACGGGAGAAATGTGTTCACTGACTCCTGGGATAGCTTGTCTCCTCCTCCGTCCCTCTTTTTCTCTTTTGGATTCATGGGCCTTGGCTAGTTCTAACTGTTGCCAGTTTGCTAAGTTCAGCACCCCACTCCCCCCATGAACTGTTCTGTGGTTCTATCTGAGTGTTCTCTGCAATATGTCTGCATTTATTTGATTTACCCCCACCTACCTCATTTCAAAGATGAGATTTCATGTGTGTGTGTGTGTGTGTGTGTGTGTGTGTGTGTGTGTGTGTGTCACAGTTGTTAGAAGCAGGGTCTAGACTAGAATCCAAGTCTGTTGTCATCCTTTCTGCCCCCAGAAACTGTAACTCTTCAGAGTCTGAAGGCACAAACCACAGTCATTAGAGTAAATGGTGTTTTATAGAAAGAAAACAATTAGGAAAGTGGGGCACAGGGTTGTAGGAACCCTCATGGGCCTTGACTTAGGACTTGTGTCTCCATCTCTGTCTTGCAGGACAATGTTACTCTCTGTTCCCCAGGGACTCCTTTTGTTAGCAGGCCTGTGCTGCCTTTTCTCTGGCTCCCAGCCTCAAGATCCCCTGGAGATAGATGCGGAAGAACATGACCATGAACATCAGGCGCATCTGCCCTGCCAACGCATCTCCTATAGCATTATCCAGTTAGCCTTCACCTTGTATCAGAAGTCTGGTAGCTGGGCGAAAGATGCCAACATCTTATTCTCCCCAGTGAATATCATTGCTGCCTCTTTAATGCTTTCCCTGGGAGCCAAGAACAACACCTACAACCAGATCCTGAAGGGACTGAATTTCAACGTCTCAGAAACACCAGAGAACTACATCCATGCCTGCCTCCAGCAAATTATCCATATCCTCCATCTGCCAGACCACAGGTCACAGCTGACCATAGACAGCAGCCTATTCACTGACCAGAGTCTGAAGCTGGAGGACAAGTTTGTGGATAATGTCAAAGCGCTGTACCACTCAAAAGCCATTGCTGTCAACTTCAAGGACACCCAAAAAGCCCAAAAACAGATCAATGAGTATGTGGAGGGAGAAACCAGAGGGAAGATAGTGGGATTGGTCAAGGATCTGGAAAAAGACACACACTTTGCCTTGATGAATTACATCTTCTTCCAAGGTAAGGTGGGGCCACCAGGGTTAGTGGCCTCAAGGAAGCCACCCAAATATGTCTCATGCTCCAGTACTTAATCCTTCCTTGACATACCAGAATACAGCAGGCAGTGTCACAATATGATCTTCAATTCTTCACTCCGAAATAATTCAATAACATCTTAAACCTCTAAATTGGGGATGATGGGTTAAAGCCCACCAGAGCACCGTCTCCTCTGAGTTAAGCCTTCATTATCTTAATGGTACCAGAATCCACTGCTCACAACTGTACCTGAATTTTAGGAGATGGGAAATGATAAAAAGGAATGTTTTTTTTTCAGTTTGGATCAGAACTGGGGAGAAAAACTTCTTTCTCTGCCTGGCCTATAGTAGTGTTGCAATTTACAGAAAAAATGCAAAAGGCAAAAAATGCACATTTGCTGAGTTAGCTGTGAGGCACCTGTCAGAACTGTGACAGTGACCCTTTCCTGGAACATGGCTTCTCCCTAACCTGCCAGGACTATGGATTAGTCTCCCTCCCAGCATGGGATGTCCTAGAGGTATTTTAATCCCTTAGGGTCCCAGTAACATGATGACAACTCTTTCTTGTTCACTTCTCAGTCTCAAGGGACTTGGGATGTTGTCCCATCTATTGTTGAACTCATGCGGAATTCCCTAGGTACCCTGTAGCTAAAAACAGTCCTTAGAAGAATACTATTGGGAAACAAAGCCCCAGCATTATTCAGAGGGACTTTTCTTTACACCCACTTGTGGCACAAGTAACTCCATTTTGGATGTTGCTGGGTTTTTTTTTTATTTTAGCAGTGTCTCACTGTCACCTAGGCTGACCTGGAACTCATGACCCTTTGAGCGGGTGCACCATCAGGTCTGTCATGATTCCGTTTTTATTCTAGCAATTTCTTCCCCTTTTTCTCTATACATTTTCCCCTGAAGACAAGACTGGCACACCACACCAAGGTTTGGTCTCTGTTGCCTTAGATGTCATTGCCAAGGTGAGATCTGTCCCGTTTAGACTGATCTGACCCTGCAGCAGAAAGTTAAGGAGTCAATTCCAGGTTACCTTCTTGACTAAGTTTAAGCAGCTGTGTGGTTTTGAAGGAGGAGCACTTAGGCTGAGTTTGCCAGTAGTCCATTTTTAATTGAATTTAGTTTTACCAATCCTGGAGCCTCTCAGAGAACCTCCTCTTTAGGGCATTTTGTTACAAGCCATTTACCCATAGACTATCCAAAGTTTTCCAAGGAATTGCAAACTTTTTCTAAGAAAATTTAGCAATTACCAAAACAATCTATTCTTTTATTGCATGCAGCATTGCATCAGGACTTCCCAGACACCCAGCATCCAGTGGTTTCAATGATTAGTGTGGCTGCTGGGAATGCAGTGCCTAGAGGTACAGCTAATTATCTGTGCTCCAAACAACGGTCAGAGTAGAATCAGGATCACAGGTGAGACTGAAAGACTGTCATGATGACAAGTTTTAGTTTGAATGATAGTGGAACAGTAAAGTGTTTTCTAAGCTTGGAGTCTTAGGAGCCTTCCATGCTCGTATAGACTAGAAGTGCACAAAGAGGCCAGTAGTCACCAATGCAGATGATTTTTAGTACTGACTTAGCTTTTGTTTTTGAAGTGAAATTTAACATCTTTAAAGTTTTAGACTTCAGGAAGGACTAGGAAGCAGTATGAATAGCCTCTGGTGGATTTCCGACTTTCAGTGGGAGCATGTGCCTTGTATAAACAACAGCAGAATTACTGACTGGGTTGAAGCAAATGGATGCAGACAAGGGTTTAAACAGCACACTGTTTGAATTAAGGGGGGCCTTCCATGTGAACGGTGTTGAGTTCAGTTGGTAGAAACTCCAACAGCCTTATTGACTATCTTGTGGGTTTAAAGTATAGAGCCAACACACTATGTCAAAGACAGTACTGGCTGATTATTTTGCTTGTATTAACCTGTGAACCTTTATGAATTTCATATAACATTTAGACAAAGCTTATATATACAGCATATTAAGCCCTTAGATACAGACAGGATAGATAATAGATAGATATACATATATATAGATAGATAAATAGATGATAGAGATAGATAGCTATAGATAGATAGATAAATAGGTGATAGAGACAGATGATAGAGATAGATATAGATAGATAGATGGTAGATAGATACAGATGAGATAGATAGATAGATATATTTCTGGTTACAGACATCTCTGACAAACATAATACAATAACCTAAGCAATAGATATTGATGTAGCCAGTGTTATAAAATAATTGTTTAAAAGACATTAAAACAAACAGATTCTTTTTAAGCCTTGTTTCTCTTAATGATAAAAACTAATATATGAAAGAAGCCATGAGTTCAGGATAACTCTGTGAAAGCATGAGGACCCAAGTTCAGATCCTTGACACTCATGTAAAAGCTGGGCATAGCGGTGACTGACAGTACGCCAGCAATGGAAGATGGAGAGAAATAAATACTGGGGGATTGCTGGCCAGTCTGGATGAACCAGCAAACTCGAGGTTCGGTGTGAGACCCTGTCCTTAAAAATTAAGGTGGAGGAGCTGGATAGATGGCTGAAGGACTGAAATCGTGTGCAGTTTTTGTGGAGAATCAAAGTTGGGTTGCCAGCATCCACCTTGGGCAGCTCATGGTCGCCTCTTACTGTGCCTCCAGGGGACCTGACATCTTCTGGTCTCCATAGGTGCCTGAACGCACATGCACAGGCTGGCAAAATAAAACATCTTCTGTTTATCTTACAAGTTTAATTAACTGCTCTGTCAAAGATTTGCCTAAGTCACATGAACCAGGTGGTGTCTGGGAGACCTTATCTAGCACAATACATAAACATACACATGTGTGTAGATGGAATATGTAATTGCATCCCTCAGTCTCCCGGGAGTGAATTCCCCACCCCAGGGTCACGTGTCCCCCACAGTCTGTATTTGGAGGCAAGTATCATATCCTTATTTAATAAGATACAATTAAAATCAATCTCTCTTTCTGTTACCAATCTGGTGAGTTTTATTTATTTATAGCCAATGTTATATAAACGAGGAATGGTAAAATCCATGTGCATAAGGCATGTTCCAAAAGCTGAGGCACTATCCCTCATTTTCCAAAATACAGGGCTAGCTTGCCATGACCAGTGTAAGCCTCTTCCACTGGCTCCCTTTCTCCTGACTGGCTTGCCAAAAATGTTATTACAATCTGAAGGTGACTGTCCCACTTCACCAGGAAAATGGGCAACTGGGAAACAAAGCTTGGTTTAAGGAAATGACTTCATTCACAGTCTTGGCTGGAACTGGAGGGAGAATAATCTCTATGTCTTTCTTCTGCCTTACCTATATGGCATCACTGTTAATAGGAAAAAAATGAAACAAAAGTCCAGAAGTATTCATATGTAGGTTGGCTTCAATGTACATTATCAGGACGGAGGCTGATCGTTTTCTGGAAGATGGCTTCCTCCCCTGATGCCAGGGCTTCCAGCTAGACTCATTCCCAGCATGAGGCTTACTGGAGAACTTTTAATTCCTCAGGGACTCTGTTATACTGTGATACACAGGCTCACTGGAAATCTCTAAGGGAGGGTTGAATATCAGATACATGACATTTCCTTAGTTGTCAGTCACTTATGCAAATTGTCGAAGACGGTAGAGAAAAAAATAGTGTTTTGGGTGGCTTAATTTGGTAACTGAACAGAGTAAGCAATGAAGTGTGCAAGACCTGGGTTCAAATGTGAGCTTATCATGGGGGGAAGCAATACCATTATTGTCAATTTGTGCAAAGACCTACCTGGACACTTACCTAACCAAGCTACACAGAATGTGTGTCTTAAGATTTATCTATTAAGGTGAGTCCCTTTCCCAGGGGGGCAGGTACTGCTTCCCAGCCTCCTGAGGCATGATATGATGGGGAACCCTTCAGGCCTGGGCCAGTGCCTTAGCCAGAGCTATGGTGGATAGTCTTGAACTTGTAAACAGACACGCCTCCATCTCAGCAGCCCAAACCCACCACCGGGGTTTCAACAGTAACGTATATAATGGTGGAAGCAAAAACAAGGAGCTGGTGAGATAAACTGGATTTTCAGTCTGCCTTGCTTCCTTTGAGGGCTAGGCTACTATGTCAGAGCCTCACGAGTCCACATCCCAAAGATGCTTCACGTTCTCCAGGAAGTCTCAGCTCAGAAGGTGGGGGTGGGGGTCAAGGCCATGGCTTCACCTTTCTATCATATTCCACACTGCCCAGCAGAGCAGTGCAGCACAGGGGGCTGAGGAAAGTGTCCGCACGGGAGACCCCAGCTCTGTTATGATGTTGGGGATGCTTAGTGTCTGACCAATGCTAGGAAGGCTCAGGGTTCCCCAAGGTCCCTACCCTCTCTGACAGCCTTAACAAAGGACGCTTGTACAGCAGAGAGGGTCTTCCGAGGTACCTGCCCTTGTTGAGGGCCTGAGACAGAGATCCAAAGGCACCCACTAGGCTTTTCCAGCATGCTGACTGAAGCATCACCTACAAGGTACAGGAAGCCATCAGAAAAGAGATACCCAGATTTGACATACAGATTATAGGAGAATGTGATCATGCCCACTTGCTCCAATTAGCATCCTCGGGAGACTACCAAAATAGTGTGAAATAAATAAAACTGCTTCTTCGTTGGAGCCAGGTTTCCACAAATCAATCCACGTATTTCTCCCAGCCCCTCCCTACTGCTTCAGACTGTTCCCTAAAGTGCATCAAGTATCCCAGTGGGTTCATGTTCATCCCGATGAGCTCATCTCTATCCCAGGGGGTTCCTCTCCATCCCATTTTACAGCTCAGAGGGAGTGCCTCACAAGGTGCTCAATATGTCTTTCCTCTAACACGTAGCTAACCCTTGATGCCACCACTGGCTGACATGCCCCTCCCTTCTCTCCAGGCAAAGGGTATGACGAAGTTGATGTTGAACTCAAGTTGGAAGCTGACTTCCATGTGAACAAGGACGTGACGGTGAAAGTGCCCATGGTCAATCGCCGGGGTAGATTTTTCTTGCACCGGGAGGAAGAGCTGTCGACCTGGGTGATGGTAAATCATTACATGGGTGATGCCACCGCCTTCTTCATGCTGCCTGACCAAGGAGAGATGCAAAAACTAGAGGAGAACTTGAATCACAAACACTTCGTGAATATCTTAAAGCGCATCAACATACGGTGAGTCCCCCGTTGAGGGATCCAGGCACTGCTCCGCAGCCTCTGAGCCATGAAGTGACCAGGGTCTTTCAGGACTGGCCCCTCAGCTAGAGCTTATAGACAGACACAGTGTAGGACTGGCTAAGAGTCAGACACCAGAAGTGTCAGTCTCCTTGGCCAAGGCACGCCTCTACCCTCAGCAGCCAGGGCCCATCACAGGGTTTTCAACAGCAACATATATAATGGCAGAAGCAAAAACAAGGAGACAGGTCTGAGGCCTCAGCAGGGAGTGGAGGTCATGAGAGACAAGGGAGGAAGGGCCTAGAACAGGAGAGGGCCAGCCACAGTGAGCTCAGATTATAACTACAGAAAGCTATGTTCCTGTCACCCTTCAGTGAGGTTTATTGGGCCCCAGGGAGCCAACACTTCTGGAATGTGCCCCTCCACCTGCAGATCACTGAGCCTGCTCTTTGGGAGGCCAGGCCCTACTCTGCCTTGGGTGATGAAAGTAATGATACACATAGAAGCTCGGGTAGTCTCCAAGTGAACTGTGGACAGCTGTTCTGTCTCACTGCCCAGCCTGCTGAGGCCTGTCACCCAACAGAAAACAGAGTCGGGCAGGGTAAAAAGGAACCGGTGACAGCCTTGGGGCTGGTCTGTTCCCTTAACAGAGACCCACTAGGGTCCTTGTCTTGTCTGTGGAAACAGAAGGCTGAGCCTCCTCCTGGAGAGTCACACACAAGTCTCAGAACACACAATCTTCTTGGAGGCCTTCCTGGATGAGGTAGGTGGCCTTCCAGGAGGTACCAGGCTGAGGAGACACTATTGATGCGCCATGACACTAAAGACCTCCTTCATATCTTCCTACATGCCAGGACTGTCAATCTGTACCTTCCCAAACTGTCTATGTCCAAATCCTATGACCTGAAGACCATCCTGAGCACGCTGGGCATCACCCAGGTCTTCAGCAATGAGGCTGACCTCTCTGGGATCACACGAGATGCTCCCCTGAAGATCAGCAAGGTGAGGTCATGCATCCATGGCTGTCAATAGGGCTGAGTGCAATGTGAGAACAGATCAGACATGAAGCTTAGGAAGGGGCTAAGGGACAGAGACAAAGCTTTTCTCACAGACTCTAGAGACACACCATGGGGGATGCAGGATCAGAGAGCAGAGCCAGGATAAGGAATCACATGCTGTCATAAAGATTGGTGGCCTTTAATTTTATCTTTGTCCAGGGCTGTTGATTCCCTGGGACTCAAATCACCTATGGAAAGACAGTGACTCATATCACCTTTGAAATTTTGTCTCAGCACACACTGGAAAGGCTTCGTGTTTATGGGGGACATTAGGTACGGGGGAGTGGGGAGTCCCTCTGAAGCTGAGTCTATGAGAGGTGGTTCAGGAAAGGAGAGGGCAGGAGAGCAGTCTTGGTACAGAAAGGCTGAACACATTAGAAAAGGCTTCTACTGAGCACTAGGGTTAAGGGGCCATGGGCAGGGCATGATCACAGTGAGGCTCTCCATGGATGAGAACCCCCACAGGAGACCGGGCTTTAGCCTAGGATGGGTACAGCCTACCTACAATGTCCTCTGCTTCTCCCCCTACAGGCTGTGCACAAGACTGTACTGACCTTCAGTGATGATGTGACACACACTGCAAGGAACAGCAGTTTGAGTAAAAGGGGCTTGTCTAAGATCCCCGTCATCCGTTTCAACAGGCCCTTCATAATTATCATTAAAGACAAATACGCCAATGTCCCCCTCTTTGTGGGAAGAGTGGTAAATCCCACAGAAAATACCTGATTTCAAATTCCAGTCATCCTCACCACCCTGTTCCAGCATGTCCCCTCCCTGCTGACATTAAACATGGGGTAGCTTTTGCTCACTCCTGAGTGCGACCAGCAAATCCCTCTTCTGGTGGTGTCTGTGCCTTCCTCTGTTCACTGAGGTACGTGGGGAGTCCATGTCTCAGTGTCTCCTGCACCCATGTTTAGGAGGTCCCCATGCTGTCACATCATCAGCACTGAAGGGAGAGGGCTATGTCCTCTTCTGGTTACACTGTGTCATCTCACTAGGCCTTCCCTCTCTGTCTCACCAGGAATTTTCTGAGAATGGCTGGAGGAGACGGTTGGTAGAATTCTTCCTCCTCGGGGCTGCAGCGGGATCCCTGTCCGTCCTTGCCTGCCAGAGGAGCCTCACAAATCCCCCAGTAAACAGGAAGGTCTCTGGGTCTTGTCCTCTGTCTTCTCAAGCCCCTCAGGCCAGTGGGCCCAGAGCCACGCCCTCTGTCCTCTCTAGTCATACACCCCTTGTGCATGTATGGCTCTAGAAGGCCCTTAGAAGGGGGAGGAAAATCAGCTCCTCCCATTTTCCAGAATTGTCTCCCACTCCAACCCAGTCTGGGCTCATCATGAGGCCATTTGTGCCTAGCACTTGCTACCCAGATCCTTCCTCCTACCCTTCCAGGGACAGCCTTGGGTGTAGTGACATGGTATTAGTTGATCCTGAGATAAACTCTTGTCACAGGGTCCAGGAGTCCCCCTCTTACTCTCTAGTGACCAGCAAAAGGGCTACAGCAGCGAGATATCCAACTGAAGACACTCATTGTCCCTGCCTCGGAGATGTTCCTGTCTTGTGTAGGCACTGTCCATTTCAAGCAGACGTGGGGGGGTCTCTGCACCCCACTCATGCACACAACGAGGCTGGATAGAAAGCAACATGGTGCTCCATGCAATCGCTGCCTTCTGTTCGAAGTCGTAAGGTAGCAGCAAGTTCCTATGATTCTGTCTAAATCAATTTATGACAATCCTTCCCCATATGAGCACACATTCCCTGACTTCCACCCTCCCCAGATTCCACTGGTCAATGGACTTCACACATCCCTCTGCACATACCAGATGGGCCCCTCTGAAGACCTAGACACACGCTCAGACTCAGTCAGCTCTATGACCTCAGTGATACCTTCTGAGAACTGGGTCCCCACCGTCAGCAATGGAAATGACCTGGAGCTGGTAGAAGGTTATATTAGATTGTCAAGACACGCATTTCTACCACAGCAGAGTGCGTGACTCATCACTGTCCTAAGAAATCCTCGAAGCAGCTCCGAGATGCTGGGCCACTGCTGTGAAACTAGTCTGTACTCAGTCTGCAAAGGAGGAGCTACACACCCAGTGAGCGGCTGCCAGGGTTTCCACCTCTCTGCAAAGTAGACCTCCCCACCTTCTTCTAGAGAGCCACACTGAAATGATGCAGAGTGCCGCTCTTCCTTTCCCTGCAAGACACTGATGGGCCATGGCTTAAGTCTAGGCTACTTCCCCAAGGCCCTGTGTCAGTGGAGACACAAATGATCTGTAGAACCCACCTTAACGGACGCTTCAACATCCCCTGTCCTTGCACAAACTCCCTGTGTTGTTGTCCAGCTGGGCATTCCCATGGGAAGAAGTAAACAAGACAACAAGGGTAGCTACAGTCCTGGGCAGTCTGTTTGTAGCTGAATAATCCTGGAGTGGGTTGTGAAAGCCTGAAATATGAAAGCTGAGTCATTTTTAAAACTATCATTTTACTATCAACAGCCAGCTATCAGAAGACAGTAGAGGGTTGACAAGATGGCCCTGATCACAAAAGGATCTTGTGGCAAAGGCTGATGGCCTGAGTTTGATCTCCAGGACCCACATGATGGGAGAAGAAAATGGACTCCTACAAGTCCTCCTCTAATAACTTCATATGTGTGTCGTGGCACTCACACACTCCCACCACCCCAACACAAACTAAATAAGCTAGTTTAATTTTAAAAATGGAAAGACACGCCGAAGAATGTGAGAAATCTTTTGCAGGTCATATATTTGGTAGGAAAGCACTCTTCAAAATACAGCAAAATGCTGAACTCCAACAACCAATAATTAAATCACCTGATTAAAAATGGGCAAAAAATTCTAACCACTTATGTCTTTGAAGAAAATATACAATGATTCATTTTGTAAAAATTACTATGACATTTATTTATGCTGGTAGGAGAACACATTATAGCACATGTGAAGAGGTCAGAGGACAATTTTTGGAGTCAGTTCTCTCCTTCTAGTGTGTGGGTCTTGGGGACCAAATTCAGGTCATCAGGCTCGATGGCAAACACCTTTACCTGCTGACATCCCACATGCTCAGAAGTGGTTTCTAAGTACGTGAAAAAAGAGCTTCATATCATTAATCATTGGAGAATGGAAATCAAAACTATAATGAGATGCACTTGCTAACTATCAAAATGATAACTACTAAAAAGCAGAAATGGTCATTTTTGGGAGTGGGATACAGGGGAACTGATCACCTTTTCATGGACAATGGGTAGTGAAAAGCAGCATGGTGGCTCCTTACAAAAAGGAGAATTGAGTTGTCACCTTGCCCAGGAATGTCTCTCTGGGTACTGTTACACTGAATTATATTTTAGTATTTGAGTAGTAAACAGCCCCCAACATGCCCTCTGTCACCCACTGGATGGACAAACATATGATACCCAGTCTGTATTTGTCAAGGTTCTTCAGAGGAAGAGAACCCACACATGATTCACCTATGACTGTAAAAGGGGTGTGTCAACTCAGCTTGCAAATCAGACAGTGAACTGCCTGCTGGATTACTAGAGATACCGGCACCTGTTCAGGCCAAGGAGATGAGAGCCTCAGAAGAAGGGGGGGGGGGGGGGACGGATGATGCAGCAGAGTAGAGCTGGAAACCTGGAAGATGCCTGGGAAGGAATCCGTGTGGAAGGCTGAAGAAGACAGAATGTGCAGTCCATGACTGACGGTAGCATCAAGAAATGCACCCACTCTGGAAAAGTCAAGCCTCCCTGAGCTGGCTTCCTCCCCCCCACTGTGTTCTATCAGAGCACCCAGACTGCTGGATGGTGCCACTCACATTCAGGACATTCCCTTTACTGTCCCACACACCAACTGTCTCTGGAGACAACCTCACAGACTAACCCAGAAGTATGCTTACTAACCTCTTAGGTATCAGTGATGGAAAAGTTCACTGTCAACTCCATGAGATTCAGAATCACCATGGAAACACGCCTCCAGGATTGCAACTCCAGAAAGCATTGACTAAGAAGAGAAAATCCACCCAGAATGCCAGTGGTGGCATTCTACCTGCTTGGGGAGGCCAAATGGAATTAAGATGAGAAAGCAACAGCATTCATCTCTCTCTCTCTCCTTCCTGATTGCAGACAGGATGTAATGAGCTGCCCCTGCCTCTGCACCTCAACTACAGTGATGGGTCTTTACTTCTCTAAGTTGTGTTTTACAGGTATTTTGACACTGGCAATGAAAAAGGTAACTAATGTGTTACCTCTTGATCCAAACGAGTCAATAATCAAGACTAGCCATCACCCTGTCCTAACCACACCCTGTTAGCTAAGCAGCCATGCCTCAGCCAATCATCGCAGCTGAACCAGATCTGTGCCATCTCACTGTCCTAACTACACCCTGTTAGCTAAGCAGCCATGCCACAGCCAATCATCGCAGCTGAACCAGATCTGTTCCATCACACTGTCCTAACTACACCCTGTTAGCTAAGCAGCCATGCCTCAGCCAGTCATCGCAGCTGAACCAGATCTGTTCCATCACACTGTCCTAACTACACCCTGTTAGCTAAGCAGCCATGCCTCAGCCAATCATCGCAGCTGAACCTTCAACCAATCACAGACTAAAGGCTCCCAAAACATGCTTAAGGAAATACTGAACTGTACCCATCAGGCTATCTCCACATGTCATGTCCTTTCATCATTTCTGGTTACCCACTAAACTGGAGATGGGTGGGGGGCATTCTGAACAGAGTGTAGTCAGGGGTTCAGTCAGATTGTTTTTGGCCTTTATCATGGTCCAGATGAACTTGGTTGACTTTACAAGGTCTCAGGGTTGGATTTTGCTTGCTTGTATTTGTGTTCATTAAAAGATTGGTGTATTCAGAACTCCAGTGACCACCAGGAGTGCAAAGTGAATGTGACAGGCAACTGATGGGATAGCTGGAAACTCTCAGTTCAAGCATGTGCCATGTCTTTGTGTTGGAGACACACAAAACCTCCCCACTAGCTATTCAGGAGTCCAGAGCCAGGCACAATTGCCAGGCCATGCTAGCCATTCCTCTGGTTCTGATGAAAGACCCACTGTCTCCTCTCCCACATCTTTTCACCAGAACCTAGTAACCAACATCTCAAGCTCTGCTTTGTAAGTCAACTTTTTAAACTTCTGCCTCTGGGCAAAAACACACAGTATCTGTTTTCCTGTGCTTGGTTTATTTCACTTAGCACGGTGTAGTCTAGACTCTGCCATATTGCTGTGAATAACAAGGTTTCATTCATTATTTTTTACAACTGGATAATATTCCATTGTTTTCTATGCTGCATTTTCCTTACCCACTCCCTTGTAGATGGGGCTTGATTTCTCAAATCCACTGTTATGGCCTGTGCTTAATCATGGAAGTGTGGGTGCCCATTTCACACATTGATCTCCTTTCTTTCCTTCAGATACAGTCCAGAAGCATTAAGTGCTGAGTCACACATAACAGGGCTGTTGTATCTCTAGCTCCTTCAGAAACCTCAAGTTGTTTGTTTACCATAATGTCTGTACAGACTGATGGTTCCACCATTTTCACCTTTGACAGTATGATTTATCAGTTTGTTTTGCTTAATCTCTTTAAAAGTATAGCCACTCTAGCAAGTATGATAAGGAAGCTCACTGTGATTGTTATTATATACATATGTGTTATATATATATATGTACTAACACATAGGTGTGTATATACCTATATTAGTATGCATATGTGTAAATGTCAATATGCATATATTCCTAAATATAACCTGCTAAGCCTATATACTGTTATTTGTATGTACATTTTCAGGACTGACCATGTATT